GTTATATAGCTTCAAGTTCTACGGCGTTTATCACTCTCAATTTCATAACCATCAAGCTTACTTAAGCGCTTCCGAACCCTCCCTGAATACCGTTGTGTATAAGGTAACTCAGGCTCACCATCCGTATCCTCCTCCTGCTCTTCAACCTCGAGCTCCGATTGAGTCCGCTGCCTCCGTTGTGATTGACCTTGATCAACTACTACTTCGATAGTACCATCCTTATCCTCTACGTCCTCGTAAGTATCACTGCCCTCGTTATCATCACTTATAGGGTCAAAATGATAAGTGTTGGTTGTATCACTCTCCTCTTAGTTGGCTTATATCTCTTTATATAAAAGATACTTATTGATCAAAGCTCGGTGGGTATCTTCGATCTCAAATTTTGATATACACATGAATATCATTAGATCTTGAACTGTTGATACCTTTAGAGAGCCTCGTCGGTAGTGACAGATATCCCTAGCGGAGTTAAAAAGGCGTTCTACACCCGCCCCTGTAGCTGGTATTGATAGTATATCGCGTGTAAGGTTTGCAAGAGTAGGGTACTGATACTGATGCTCTTTCCAAAATATACAGGTAGGCGTTCGTATAATACCTTAAATATAAGTTAATATAGGGTAGATAACAAAAAGATATAACTTACCACTGTCAAGGTATTCCTTAAGCTTATTATATTCACTCAATACTAAGGGCTGGGACCCTTCTACTCCGCATTCTATTTTAAGCTCTGAAATCGCGATTGCGGATAATCGAGCTCTGGATAATAATTGTGTATCTGAATAAAGTTTCTTATAGGACTGAAAGTATTCCTTAAGACTTACTCGATAGATTACACGCCAGTTATTAACCGGATCATCCCAGTCCTTTCCTTTAAAAAAGTCAAGCTTTTGTTGGGGTGAGAGAATAGTGCCAATTACGTAAAGATTGTTATCAATTTGATCGGTCTGGCTGTAATATTGCGAAAGCTTCTTCTCTGCTGCCTCAAGAGAAGTAAGTATAAGCTGCTTCTATACAACCTTCTTCCGTTTTAAAACAGTCTTTGACTTTTCAAGGTAGTTAAAGAGCTTGTTGTAGATATTAAAGATCAGGTGAATACTAATATCCTTAGTTTTAGAAAGAAGAGTGGTGAATTTAAAGAAAGGCTAGGTGATCCAAAGAAGATAGTCAATCTATCGCCACTCTTCTGGACTTAGTGTAAAGTGTTCCTGGTTATACTGAGCGCAGAATTGATCAAAGGTTGATTGGAGCCGTTTAGTACGTCGGAGCATCAAAAATATCGAATTCCAGCGAGTTCGGATATCCTAGATCGGAATAAGCTTTGGCTCCTCAGTTTGAAGGTTATAGAATAACTCTCTCCGTTGTAGACTTACGTTAATATAGATAGCAAGGTTTCGGACCTATATAAGAATAGAAGGATTAGTATAAAAAAAAAAGTAGAGTTATAGGGATATACCTTATTAAGCGTATCAACAATTTCTCTTTTTTGTTGCCTTACACAAAGAGAGCGAACACGGTCGTCAGACCAGTCTATCTCCGCACTCTTATTCTTTAGAATTACCTTTATCTTCCCAAGAAGATCATTCAGACTAAGCTGGATAACATAGGTAATATAAGGAACCCGAACGATTGTAGCACTATTGTTTAGCTTAAGCGACTAGAGTGATTCTTAGATACTTGCCATTATAGTATTATTATTTGATACATTATCAGTAGTGACTGTAAGTACTCGATCTGCAATCTTATACTGATAGAGGAGCTTTAAAACCACGTCACTTAGGTTAACACCTAAGTGTAAGCTAGATAATAGTTTAAATCCAAGAAGAACCTCTCGATACTCCCAATACTGGTCGAGGAAGTAGCCAGTGACAGCTATAAAGGCCTATCGAAACGGAGATATCCAGCAATCTAATACAATCGAAAGCTTTGCATTGGGAGGAAGCTTATTAAGAATAGACTGTTACTGTTCCTAGATATACCGCTGTAGTCGAGACCGCATTGTAACCGCAGAAGGGATCTATGGTTGTGTCGGGGTAAGTCGGGCAAAGTTAATAACTTCACGAAATTCTGGGTGTTCAATAAACTTAAAGGGGAGACAGGAGAGGGTAAGTAGTTGTAAGAGCTTCTATTCCTATACCTCTTACGTAAAAACTGTTGACTTGCTTAGTACGTTCTGCGCCTATTAATCCAGAGAGTTATTAGTAAATAAATAATAGAAAAATTATATAATATATACGGTATTTATAAGTAGTCCCTTAATATTACCCTTCTAGGTACTGGATTTACGACAAGTCGGTCCAGCTAAGTGTCGATAAAGTGCAGTTGTTCTATACCGCCCATTTGCTGGATAATCGAGGACTTTATAGTATTGACGACACATTGCCCCTAGTTTACCAGTTTTTGTATCAGCCACTTAATCAAATTGCTCCCAGCAAGTGGCTGTCCGGTTACTATTCCAGTTTAGTCGTTTTTTTGTCTTTCCAAACTCAGTCTCTAACCACCAGGAAACAAAATCATCTTTTGATATATCGGTGTATAGAATAAACGCTATTGATCGACCTAGGCCAATACGCTGAAGTGAAGAAGGAATTGAAGGTAGAGGAATTGGGGTAAGAAACCCAGAATTTGAGGTGGTATCAAATATCTGCTGGCTTTCGGAAACCTCAGGGGTTAGGAATTGCTTATTCGGAAAGCAGAGAAGAGGGTCGACTGAATTTGTAGGATCACCGTCGTAGATAGATAAGGAATAGATATCTAAGAACTGAGAAATTTGAGATATTGTTAACCAAATAATCACTTATAGATTATATCTTAACAACGGGATAGGAATCAGAAGGTAGATATACCAAGAAAATTAACAAATCCTAGTAAATAGAATTGATCAACTACCCTGAAGTTCAGCTCACTGGGTAAATAGTAAATATATCACAATTTGATCCACTTTAACTTAAGATAATCTCTATAATTGGCTAGATTTACTAGGCTAATTGAGGGCCGCCCTCATCCAGCCCTCAATCCGCCCTCGGAATATACAGGCCGCCCTCAACCCGCCCTCAACCCGCCCTCAAAAATCAGTATTCAGATAAGAAGTATATACCCTAGGTCTAGCTGAAGTTGCAAATATATATTTCTCCAACTCCATCATCTAATATTGACAACCTTCACAATTAACAACAACCAATATACTTAAAGATACTAAGAATATATAATATCATTATTACCTGCCATGATTTATCGTAATACAACTCAATTTCATAAAGTTTCTTGATGCTGATAAAGAAATAGATTGTAAATATAACATTCAAACCAGAACACCGTTAAATAACCGTAATTTAAAGTGATAAGTTAGCACTTTTATACATCTAAATTAGGAAAGGTCAACTTTTTTTATATAAACGAGGGCCGATGAGGGCCGCCCTCGAGCGGCCCTCAGAGGGCGGAGGGTCGGGTGAGGGCAGGCAAGTATCCGCCCTCCGCCCGCGAGGGTCGGGCGGAGGGCGGGAGATTCCGGCCCTCTGAATGTTTTTAATGAGGTCTAGTTATATTCACTGTTATTATAAGCAGGAATACTAATACCTATAATAGTAAGGAGAAAGGTCGATCCTTTACAATTCGGGAAGGAATATAAGAATAAATTCCCAATTCTTTTAAGTGTTACTCGCGATATTCTCTCTATTCCTACAATAGACGCTAGAGTCAAACGTCTTTTCAATTCAGTATAGGATATCTACCACTACCGACGTAGGCGGCTGAGTGCGAAGATAGTCTAGGATATTATAATATTCCGGTGTAAAACCCAGTTCGATATTAAAATAGAAGAACTACCCGATAAGGATACGTCCTTAGATTCAATATAAGAAGCAGACAAACAGAGAGAGGCTAAGCTTACTACTAATATACCTAAACTAATCAGCGATAGTGAGGATTCCGAGGATAATAATCCTATTAGACTAATCGAGTATAAGTTTATAATAGAGAGTCAGCTTCCTTGTCCTTCTATAGTGCTAAGTACACGGAAGCGACAGAGAAGTAAGCTAGTCGACAGCGAAGATAAGAGCAGTCCTTATCTCCCTTATTATAGAGATAAGGGTAGCACTCAAAAGCGCCCTGGTTTAAGAGAAGTAAGGAAGCGTAGTAAACCCAATAATAATCAATTTATATTGTATTAGTGTGAATATATAAATATAATAAATACCTAAGTTATTATACAAAGGCTTCTAAGGCTTATTTCTAACCCCGGTCAAAAAAGTGACAATATATTAAGTTGTTATATAAAGGCTTCTAAAGCTTATTTCTGACCTCGGTTAGAAAATTGACTGTGGTGTTAAGTTATTGTATAAAGGCTTCTACAGTTTATTTTTCTGACCGAGGTCAGAAAATTAACAGTAGTATTAAGTCATTGTATATATAATCGAATTACTCAAAAATACAGAGAAAAAATACACAAATAATACAGGTCACGAGGTCAAGAAATTCTGCTTACTAAAAAGGCCTATAGGCGCCCACGGTGTCTATAGACAATAGGCCCTAAGGGTAGGGCCCGTCCATGGGCGTATAGATAGTGCCCATCGCCCGCTTATATAAGGCCCGTGGGCACTGCCCACCCGCCCGTCCATGGGCGATGTCGCAGTCTAACTACAGAAGTTCACGTAGAAAGTAGTAGTACTCCTATACAAACCCAAAATATATATCTCACCAAAACATTAAGATTAATAGTATCTCGACTTCTACCGGTTGGATTTTATTCAAAATTGAAGTATATACATATATATATATATATAGCTAGTAGCATTCTGGATTCTGAATTTGAACTTTATATACCCAGTGGAAGGTCGAAATACAGCGATTACAGAGGCCGATAAGATGGGCTTTAATGGGGGCCTTATGGGCCCCTATTAGTGGGCTACGGGTTGGGTCGAGTTTCGAAGGTTAGGCCTATAGCCCACTGCGGGTTGGGCTTTGGGCCTAGGGCGGGGGCCCATTTGTGGGCTTTGCGGAAGTCTATGCTTAATTACTGTTACAAATCCGGTCTCAAATTCTTCAACACAGCACATGCCTATTCCAACGGGATCTCAGAGGATATTCTAGGCAAAGCAATTAAGAAATATAATTGGCGCCGCGAGACCATTGTTATCGCAACCAAACTGTGGGCGCCCGTCGGTCGCGGCAGCGAGCAACCGATGGCGATGACTGACGACGAAAAGGACAACTCTGGCTACGTGAATGAGTACGGGTTGAGCCGGAAACATCTTTTTGACAGCATCGATGCCAATAGAGGCTCGACTTGCCCTACTTCGACTTACTGCAGATTCATCGCTTCGATCTCAGAACCCCCATAAAGGAAACGATGGAAGCGCTTCATGATGTCGTCAAGTCGGGAAAGGTGCAGTACATCGGCGCCTCTTCTATGTGGGTTCATCAGCTCCTTGAGTACCTATACACCGCCCGCATGCATGGCTGGACAGAATTTATCTCAATGCAGAATCTTCACAATGGTATCTACCGCGAGGAGGAACGGGAGATGTACCCTGCGTGTGCTGAATTTGGAATGGGTGACATTCCTTGGAGCCCTGTTGCAAGGGGTTTCCTAGCCCGACCTTGGCGCAAGTTCTCTACTACTACGCGTGGAGAAGGACAGGGTCAATCTTTCCTTGGCCAGCCCATTACAGAGGCAGATAAAAATATCAACAAACAGGCCGAAAAGATTGCTAAGCACCACCGCGTGTCGATGACGATTGTGGCAATTGCCTGGTCCCTATCTAAGCCCTTTGTCACGGCTCCGGTTCTGGGAATGAGTAAGAAGGAGAGGGTCGATGAAGCAGTGCGAGCTATTTTATTCGAACTTAGTCCCGAAGAGCTAGATAGTATCGATGACATATATGCGGTTAAGCAAGTGATTGGCTAGCAATGAGATCGGTGTTACTGGAATTAGAGGAGAGAGTAGTCTATATAGTACGCCGACCCAGAATCTGGAGAAATCCGAGGAACCAGGATTGACACTTATTGTTAACTAGGGTTTAATGGAATATTGTGTTCCTATTTAGTTTCTAGTATGAGGCTATGATAGATATTCAATAACCCTTGAAGTCCCCGTGATATTGAAAGCAAGGGCATCGAGGAAATAAGAAACAGACGCGACGGATGAATACCCAGCCCCTGAACCTCCCCATTAAGAATCAAAGAGGCTTTGTGTTAACATAAATGACGAATGCAAACCCGTTTCATTTTAGAAAATGAAGATTTAATTCCATCCCCACACTCCCCACCCCAAATTCAAGTTACAGAGTGCTTACCTCCAAGTGGCGTGCGGGCCGGGAGCGTTGCGGGTATTATCAAGGAATCTCGATGTGATAGCTACATACTTAGTAGGCAGAAATCTGGCGATCATTACGCTCTAGTCCCTCTAGTCGGCCCCACACATGTCATCCAGCTGCATAGATCTACAATCAGCGTAATTGCTTTAACTCCAGACTTGTATGTTAATTTCAGTCAGATACACATCCTCTAGATCAACTCAAACGAAACAGGGGACCTTCATTCCGCTGTGCTCGCCACCGGTTTGTGGAATGCGCCAAGTCGAGACAGTCCTTTATAACCCAGCTCCAAGAACGAGCAAAAGACTCTGTTACTTCCCACCCCGCCGGATCCCAAGGATCGCTCCAAACAATAATCCCAGTCCTCCCTGAGTGCTCATTTCCACTCCCCTTCATATCGAGACAAAGTTGTGTTTCCTCCTCAAAGTCTCCAGCTCGGATTAAATTGTCCCTCATGCTGGGAACAGGAAGCAGATCTAACCATGGGTGGTGTGGGATGGAGCGTTGGATCATGGTAGGCTGGAGACTGGGTGGAAGGCGACTCTCAAAGTCATATTGCCACGGGCCAATGGTATTAAATGGTGAAATAGCATCGTCGTGTAGTTGGTCTGATGTGAGGCCCAGAATCGCGGTATTTTCCATGAGCGCTCTGGTGAAATTGAACTGGATCAGGTGGAGTAGAAGATCGGTGCGTGGAGACCCCAGCATGTGATATTGACGTGCCGTCCTCTCTAAGCGCTGCATTGTGATTTTTGTCGTTATCGAATGGCACTTTAGGATATGTACATCCTCGATCTCTTTCAAGGACATAAGTGAGGGCACGTCCATAGCACTGTATGTTGCTGATGTTTGTTCGTCTGTCTGCTCTGCAACAGCAGTTGTTGCTGCTGCACCTTTAGAAGCTAGTGATTTGATGTTCCGTCTGTCGTCCAAGGGCTTTGCAGCTTGTTTGTTCTGTAGACCTGATTGATATAAGGTCAATTCGACGCTTGCTAGTTGATAAGAATTGGTATTATAATTACGTCTGGATCTTTGATTCACGCGATTTTGCAGCCTTCGGCGAGTTTTTGGGTCAGTTATACCAGACCAATCTTCATCTGGCCATGCGCACAAGCGCTCCGAGAACGGTCGTAAAGCGATCCGTTTTTTAGAGGGTTCCTCCATTGTGCGTTTTATCTCTGCAACCAGGCACTCCTTATGCACTTTGATGACAAGAGTTTCCGGACACTAGTGAGCGGGTGTCGTAAGAAGTAGGGATAGCGTGAAGAGTGAAAAAAGCCACCTAGGCAGGGTCTAAATATAATTGTACGGAATCTTCCAAGAAGACGGGGTTCCCTGTAAGGTTAGGCCAATCATGTGCCTCCATTCAACCCACCCTGTCATCAACCTGCATGACGCTTATCCATATTAGGAATAGCTGATATATAGCCGATGTTTACCCGTCAACGTCCTTTGCATCACAACATACATACCGTTACCCCTGGGTGCCAGCTTCAGGCTACAACGCTGGATTACTCCGCGCTTGCATAGTACCCCCTGAAACTTCACGCGTCATAGTATTGCGATAACCATGCATATTCCTTCGACATCGAATGAGGTTGAAGTCGGGATCCGCCGGCGTGGATAATTACACCAACTCTTGCCTTGGCCGACGTTATCATTCTTGGCTATGAAGATCCGTTGTTGGAGCAGGAAATGATATATAAAGACCAAAGTCTTTTCATAATCAACAAGATAAGAAAACGAAGCCTCAAAGTTCTTCTTGCTACTGAAAGTCATCCCGCCATATTTTCACGTACATCGCATCCCAATGTTGCGAACTACTGTTTGGTTGGTCTACCTCCTTGCTGTCGCAAATGCAGGGGAAACAGCCCAATCGATAACAGCTCCCACAAACTGTCAACAAGCAGTATGTTTGTCAAAAGTCCTTTGGCCTTCCATTACTAACTACATGTAGTGTGCCCAACTCTCCACAGTCTTTGGGTCCGCACTTCACTACCCCGACAGTGATAATTTCACCATCTGGGATGCGAAGCAGCAGGAGGTCCATCCATCCTGTCGCATCGAGCCTAGCAGTGCCTCTGATGTGGCCAACGTTCTGAATGTCCTCGTTGACCACTGGTGTTACTTTTCAGTAAAGGGTGGCGGCCACTCCAGGAATGCGGGGGACTCTAATTCGGTGGGTGGTGTTACTGTGGACCTAGACCTCTTGAGAGATGTTGAGGTCTTGGACAATGGAACCAAGGCACGTGTTGGTGGTGGTGCAACCAGTATTCAAGTGTACCATGCCCTGGAGTCTCGGAACTTGTCCTACGTCGGTGGGAGAGTGGGCAGCGTCGGCATGGGTGGATTCACACTTGGCGGAGGAACATCCCCATTCTCGAACAAGTACGGATGGGCGTTGGATAACGTTTTCGAATATGAGGTGTGTTTTGTTCTACGGCAGCCCCAAAATTTATTCATTGCTAAAATACCTATTTGCAGGTTGTCCTCGCCAATAGTACAATTACTACGGCCTCTGAGACTCATAATCAGGATCTTTATTTTGCTCTCCGGGGAGGAGGCAACAACTTTGCCATTGTTACAGCCTTCACGATCCGCACATTTCCCCAGGGGCCTGTCTTCACCAGGCAGACATCCTACTCCCCCAATCAGACTGAGCAAGTTCTCGACAAGGTCTATGACTTATTCACAGATAAGAATCTCACTGGTGATGTGGAAATGGGTTATGATCTATACTATAGCTACGATTCGGGCAGTGAAGACTTTACCTTGATGGGCACTCAGCGCTACGGGAAGGCAATTCACAATCCTCCAGTCTTCCACGAAATTGACCAAATCCCCACATTAAGCCGGACTACGATCATAGGATCCATGAGCAGTGTGTCGAATGGATCTATCCCAATGGGTACAACTCGGTAAGTGCCAACCCTTCGTTCATTATCATTTTTTGTTATTCATTATTGTTTAATAGAAATTTATTTGCTACCCTAACCGTGTCCCCATCTCGCTCCCTGTTCTCACGGGCTCTCCAGATCTTCAGGCAGGAAGTGGAAGCTATCAAGAGCGTGCCCGGCATACGGACTAACTTCATCTGCTATCCAATGCAAAGGAATGCCATCGCAGCCATGAAGCAAAGAGGTGGTAATGCCCTGGGCATCGATCTTGAGCGTGATGAACCTCTTTTTAGTAAGTTTTCTCAGTCTTTTAGTTGAGAAATGCTTTTTTGTATCACTACTAACATGATATATAGTTATTCTGCTCTCGACGGCCTGGTCGGATGCAAGCGACGATGCTGCCGTAAACAGAATGACTACAGACACCATTCGCAGGATTAAGCTGGCAGCTCAAAATATGGGTGTTGCGAACCGGTATATGTATATCAACTACGCATCGGCCGAACAAGCCAGCGAAGTGTTTTCCGGTTATGGCACAGACAACTTCCAAAGGCTCAAGGACATCCAAAAATCGGTGGATCCTCGTGGAATATTCACTTCCCAGGGCCTGTGGAGGGGATTTGTGAAACTACTTTAGTTAAATGGCGAAGTGAACCTACATATTTGGCCAACAAAACACAAAGGTATCCGATACATGGCTTCCTACTGCGTATGCTGCAGCTCATCATGCGTTACCTTCAATACTAGACTAGACTTTTTGAAGCACCAATTTATTTGTTTAGCAGCAGTCCTAAGTACTTCGGGATCAATATGCCGGCCGTAAATATCCTAGTTCCCCCCTATATACAGTGGATCGGGACCCAATCCAGCCTATCCATTGCTTTAAATTTGGGTATCTCTTCATCTTGTTTTCTGAAAATTTGCTCCACTTCCATCTAAACTTACTAAGAACATCTCTAGCAAGATATTCATGAGACTAGCTGGTGAGGTGTCTCGACGGATGAATTTTAAATAGGTTGTAACTCAAGGTGTTTATTTTTTCAATTTCTTGATCATATCTGAGTATGTTAAGTTTATTAAAGTATTTCACATGCGAGCTGCGAAGTGAAAACACCATAGTAAATGCGGTATAGTATGCTAGTCTAATATCTCAACAATCAACGTTTCTTTCTTACTTTTTTATTTTCCGATAATTATTGAAACGCAATTTCAATGGCATATATTAGTTTCGAATAGATTTAAAACTTGTATTGGTATGGTATCAAAAATTATATTTCCAAACTATACATATACGTATTCTTCAATATATATGATCTAGGGCCAGGTGCCCTTCGGGGCTTACCACTAGGAAAGCCGAAGTGACTCGTAATCTTTATCCGCAGACTCGATAGGATAGACTAGCTCAGCTGATTATTCTAGGAGGGAAAGGTCATTCTCTACGGAGTAGTGTTATCAATAATAAGGGGCAATTTCCCTTCAAAATGTTCATAGGACATCATGCAATCTTACACTTTTGACAAATGTTTCTGCCATTTGAGATGAGATTTAGAAACCACGGTTTCTTCTACTTATCAGTGTCGATTTCTATCAAAGAGATTATCCACACTAGTCCGTAAATTTTCTTCGGCTCCTTAATAAACCTTCTTACTGCTAGGAGTAGAGCAGGTGATAAGGCCCAGATTTTATTCTCTCTATCCAGGCAAAGTGATACTGAAGGCCAATAACTTCGCATTCCTGACCTCTGCGGGAGTTATATCTGAAACTAAGGTATCTTTTTTGTGGGAAACGTGGAGTGAAATATATCTATTTAAATTGCTTGATCTTTTTATGTCGCATTGCGAGTAGGTAGCACCTAGGTGGTATCTTATCTTGACGTCGAATGAACTGATACGGAAAATCCGCCAGGGTCCTGGGTAAGGGGCAATAAAACCTCAAAATAATTTATTTTCCATAACCATATGGATCGCTTCGAGGGACTGGGGATCTGAGCTTTTCATCTTTTTATGAACCTCGGAATTCCGGGGTCATATCTGTGGCCCGTAACGTATCGGGTTGTGCCGGTTAACTACGGCAATCTTTAACCACCAGTGACAGTGGGCCCCCAGCCCTGGAGGGGCCCCGGGGAGCCGACCGCCATTACTAAGGATTCAAGCATTAAGAGCTTAACTATCGAGAATTAGACTTAAACTTCGAATTATGCATATAATTGGTGCAACAATACGAAGTACTCCGTAGTGTATTTAGATTTCCAAAATGCTAACATTTCAAACTATACTACTGTGGGTGGAATTAGTACCTGCTTCCTGCTACCTTCTCTCTCTTAGTCATGAGTGATTTTTTGTTCTATAACCTTCGCCATTTTTTTTAAGTGAATAAGAAATCCGTCGATAGCCCTTCTATTATTTGACCGTGTACTTGATTGGACCTCACTTTAATTTGACTATAACAACATTTAGGGAAATTCGGGAGTACTCTTTAGTGGACAGGAACCATGTATGCTGTACTATTCGCTCGTGGATAAATTTGTGAGAATGAAGGAGGGGAAGAAGGGGGGTGCAAAAAGACGAGGGAAAAAAAGCAGGGAATGTTTGGTTCGCCCATATTGAACATTTCCACTGTGTCGAGTGTGCATAAAGCTTACAGACCCGAGAAATCTAAATAAATCAAAAGAACGCAGAACGAACATCCCATCTCAGGGTAATTATGCCGCGGGGTGCCCGGAAGAAAGCAGAAAACTACCACACTAGCCGAGGTGGCGACTCTAGTGTAGGTGCTCCGTCGGAATTCCGATTGCCAAGGGCCGACCCGCTGACCATATCAGCGACTTTCCCAGCTAATCTGGTGTCAGGGTGACTTACATTGGCTAAAGAAACACCTCGGGAACGCCATAAGTTAGCGCCAGCAAATTGGCATCAATAGCCCAGGGCTTACCTTATCTTAGGAACGCCCCCAAAGCTATAAGGATACGCAAAATGCATTTGCCTCAATATTATACATTCTTTTTATATTCTGCTTCCAGGGGGGTATTATCTTGGGATAGACATTTCACCAATCATAAGACCTCAAGGGCTGGGAAAACTGGTAGCATATACTAAAACCAAGTGCAACATTACACGGGCGTGGCGAACCTAAGAGGAAAGGTCCGAGCTCTCTAGGGTTGGTATGTTAACATCTTAGGGGAAATGTTACCACCGGGGCCAAATGGGCGTTTCTTGGGGGGAAATAGCATGGTCCATTTGTTCTTTTACCGCGTGACAGAAAGCACTGTTCTATCGTTTTAAACATGGTGGCTCATTTTATGGCTGCATGGTATCATGAGAATCCCAGTGGTCGGATAAGGCGATATTTCCTCCAGGGCTCCTTTATTGGAATATAAGAGATCCGTAGGGCCTACCTAGGAAAATACATGCGTGATCAGCTCTACGGCCATACTCTAGTTTCCTTGGAACATAGAATCATATGTCACCAAGTATGTCCGAGTCGCCTGTAGAGACAAGCGATATCTCGGTGGCTAGCCGGGAAGCCATCGGTGAAAAGACTGCTGTCACTGTGCTTGCTACTAAAGATGAGCATGCACTCAGCGACGATGACCTCGGCAACAACCCGGACGCGGTTATTGTCACCGGTGCAGACGCAGCTATTCATCTGCTGCCTCTTCGAGATGACTTCGACACGGTGTTGACCTTTCGCAGTATATTACTTGCTTCCGGCCTCGCATGTTTCCAGGCTGTGATGAACCAGATTTATCAGGTAATTCCAACCCATTCTCCTTCCCTCACAGATACTAACGACTCAATCCATAGTTCAAACCGACCCTTGTCACGATTCAGGGAACCTTCATCGTGCTGATCTCTTACTTCGTCGGCAATGCTTGGGCCAAATTTCTTCCCCGTGGCGACAAATTTGAAGCTCGCTGGAGGGCGAAAAACGGCCAGGGAAAACTTCCTTTGTGGATCACGGTGATGAAGTTTTTCAATAACGGGCCATGGACTTTGAAAGAGCACGCAATTTGTTCAATCACTGCTACGTCGGCCTCGAATGCTGCTCCTAGCTCGACGGTATTTGCAGCACAGGACCTATTCTACAATCTTCCCTTGAACGCAGGCACTGTGATATTGAGTACTATCTCTATCGGCCTATTTGGCTACGGGATCTGCGGCATCATGCGTCCTATCGCTGTCTGGCACATTGAGGCCGTCTACTGGGGCACTTTGCCTACCGTTAAGACTCTCCAAGGACTCCATTGGCAGCAAGTGAAAAACTCGAAGCCACTTAGGTATTTCTGGATTGCCTTCAGTGGTATGGGATTATACGAGATCATTCCTGCCTACATCTTCCCGTGGCTCAATTCTGTTTCCATTCCGGTATGTGGTTTGCTTATTTTAGTGTCCCCTTGCTCCCTTCACATCATTTGGTGTATCAGGGATTCATCAGAACAGGTTTTGACTTCGTTTTCTATAGTGCCTGGCTTCACAAAAGGCAACCGGTGAAACTGCTTCTGTGCTCAACAATGTCTTTGGTGGGGCCACCAACAACCAGGGTCTTGGTCTCTTCTCGGTTACGTTTGATTGGCAATATGTGAGATGATTTCCTTTACACCCATGCATTGGTCCGGCAAGTTGTCTAACAGAAGTAGATCACATCTTTCCAAACTTCTCTCCCTCTGAAACTACAAATTCATCAGGTCTTAGGGTTTGGTGCCTGTTTTATTGCCATGATGGGCATATATTATGGCAATGGCTGGAATGCAAGATCGCTCCCATTCATGTCGACGAGAATGCTTATGAACAACGGCACTGCATACCCCGTGGGCGATGTCTTCCCCGGCGGTGTCCTCAGCGAGACCGCCTTGAAGGAATACGGCTTGCCAAGACTCACTGGAACCTTCGCATATGGAATGTTCATGGCCAACGCAGCAATCGGTGCCCTGATCGCTCATTGCATCCTGTTCTGGGGCAAGGATATCTGGCAGGCTTATAAAAGTGCGAGAGAAGGTAGATATGATGATCGCCACCATGCGCACATGGTCAAGCATTACAAAGAGGCTCCATGGTGGTGGTACATTATCGTGCTTGTTGGCAGCTTTATTCTCGGTATAATTGTCACCGTGAAAGAAAACATTACCTTGACGGTTTGGGCATATGTTATCGCACTGGTGCTAGGATGCATCATCGCCCCCTTTGTGAGTACAACGTCTCAATACGGTACTTTATAGCCCGAAGCTAATTCAAATCCTCCTTCAGAGTACAATCCTCTTTTCCCGCTTCGGTAACGGTATTGCTACCAACAATTTGTCAAAAATGCTGGCTGGACTCATCCTTCCTGGTCGTCCGATCGGTAACATGTACTTTGCTACTTGGTCACACAACGTCATTACAAATGCGGTCAATCTTTCCAATGATCTGAAGATGGGCGAATACCGTGAGTATCTTCGTTGTTACTTTGATTTCGTTATTTTGATCGAAAGCTGACCTTGGTTTCTGAATTATTTTTCTAGTCAAAATCCCTCCACGTATTATGTTCTTGACACAAATATATGGTACAATTCTTGGTGGCTTCATCAACTACGCCATTATGATCTCTATTGTGTCAGGTAATCGGGACCTTCTCGTGGATGGCAATGGAAACTCGTCGTGGAGTGGTGCAACTATCCAATCTTACAACACCAATGCCGCATCATGGGCTCTGGCTCCCTATATCTATAAGGCCGGGACTCCATATGGGGCTATTCCTATTGGTCTCGCCGTTGGCGCTGGTGCTGTGGTCATTCATCGTATCATTTATCAAGTAAGAAACATCGCACCCCTTCTCTGTTTATGCTACTTGAAGCTGACGCCCGTTTGCCTTTTAGTTTGTACCCAAAGTTGGAAAATTCGACCTCTCGGAGATCAATATGCCGCAGTTTATCCAATATGCCGGTTATCTTCCATCCAACCAAAGTCAGACCTGTGTCATCTTCTCCTGGGTCATCGCCGGGTTCTATGTGCAATACTATCTTCGAAACTACAAGCCACGGATTTTCAGGGACTACTCCTATCTGATTGCAGGAGCCTTTGATGGAGCTAGTCTGACGGTTCTCTTCATCCTCTCATTTGCTGTCTTCGGAGCTGGTGGAGTTGGGCACCCCTTCCCATCGTGGTGGGGAAACAACGTGAACGGGAACTACGATTGGTGCCCGGTACCAGAGTAGGGAATTTGAGTTGAGGGATGGGGAATTTGAATCCCCGGAGTCACTGGAGTGTGAGGTATTGTTGCAGATCGAAGGGTACATAGTTATAATGTATTTGATTAATGCCTGAGGATTTGCTCAGAACAATGACATAATTATTGAGAGTACCTGAAGATCTATGTGGATCTGCCACCCATCCATCGTACCTGTTAGAACTTCGTCTTAAAATCTTCTAAAACAAACCACAGAGTCTTTTCTCGACGTCCCTTCTCGCTGCCGCATATTTCTGCACGCATTCCATCATCCACCTGAACCGACCCCAACCTGCTATCAAGATGCGCACTCTAGCTGTGAGTATACCGCACACTGTTACTTGCTTCAGCAACGTCGCTAAGTTATCCTTAGATTGAGATCCCGCTTGGGTCCACCTCACTCACCCAGTCCTCACCCCGGTCCCCATCCCAGTCACCATCCCAGTCACCATCCCAGTCACCATTCCAGTCACCATCCCAGTCACCATTCCAGTCACCATCCCAGTCACCATCCCAGTCACCATTCCAGTCACCATCCCAGTCACCATCCCAGTCACCATCCCAGTCACCATCCCAGTCACCATCCCAGTCACCATCCCAGTCACCATTCCAGTCACCATCCAAGTCACCATCCCAGTCACCATCCAAGTCACCACTAGACTTCCGCACCGGCCCACAAAGCCCAAAGCCCAACCCGACCCAACCCGTAAATGGGCCGGGTTTTGGGCCCGGTCCTTAGGCCCATCGATGGGCTATGGGCCCGGGGTGAAAGCCCACTGGGCTTTAATAGGGGCCCAATGGGCCCCAAACAATGCAAACATACTAAGTTGAACCCCCTAAAAGGGTTTTTAGAATTACCCTTTGTTTTACCCCCGTTTCTAACCCTTATTCTAAAGGTAATATTTTATTAGTTTAAATTATTTAGAGTCAATTACTAGTTATCTCTCTATATCACGTTCAAAAACGCGAGAAAGCGCGTTATTTAGATAATTTATCAATTACAGAAGTTCACGTAGAAAGTAGTAGTATTCCTATACAAACCCAAGATATATATCTCACCAAAATACTTATTTTCGGAGTATCTCGACCTCTACAGGTTGGATTTTATTCAAAATTGAAATATATACTTATATAGCTAGTACAATTCTGAATTCTGAATTTGAACTTTATATACCCAGTGGAAGGTCGTAATACAGCGATTACAGAGGCCGATAAGATGGGCTTTAATGGGGGCCTTATGGGCCCCCATTAGTGGGCTACGGGTTGGGTCGGGTTTCCAAGGTTAGGCCCATAGCCCACTGCGGGTTGGGCTTTGGGCCTAGGGGAGGGGCCCATTTGTGGGCTTTGCGGAAGTCTAGTCACCACTCAAGTCACCACTCAAGTCGCTCACTGAGTCGCCCGCTGAGTTGCCCGCTGAGAGTCCCTCTCTGTCACTAGTAATGATATCTTATTTGCCTGCCAGGCTCGAGTCGGCTCGCTAATTTCAGCTTAGACTGAACCCCTGCGTTTACCTATCTCTCCCAGCAGCTCACCTTTCGAGTCGCCGACCAATTCACCCACTCAGAGCGACTCCCTAGTAAGTATATCACTTACCTACCGGACTCTAGTCACATCACTAACTTGTCCTTCAATTCAAGCGTCTGGGTCCACTTCCCCTAGCAAGTCGCCAACCGAGTCAACTGAGGGTGCGTTTCAGTCACCCGTAAGAATACCCCAATTTCCTGTCGGGCCCGAGTCTCTAACTTCATTGATCTTCACCAGTTTGTCATACCTCCAGGGTGGACCACAAATTCCCCAAGCCCGGCATACAAAGAGGAGTGGGAGGGTCCTGAATCCGAGGATCAGACAACTGCTCGGTACTTTGGCCTCGGGCCAGGAAGACCGATCATGGAGGATGACAATGACTACGAAACAATTTTCCAGTCTGGTGACAAGTTCTATCTCTGGGATCGAATGTGTGACGATGTGTATGGAATATTTTCTCGGGATATAAATGAGGTTGCTCTCCTTATTGCCGAGAAGGGACTCAAGGAGCTACGTAGGGAAGCTGCTATTCTATTCCCCGAGTCTCCTAATGGATAAAACAGCCCGTCATATCATGACTAGCTTGTAATGTCACTCAGGCAGCCTGTCCACTTTTCCAATACCATATAAAATCTCACTAATATCCGGTATCATAAATAACTTGCACTTGCTTCACATTGTTGAAAGTAATGAAGTGCATGCTCTACGCTACCATACCAGCCTGGCCGAGAAGGGACGCTACAGCATGGACGCCACGAAATATATTTTGATTGATGGCTGAGGTTATACTAAGAACAATGACATAATCATCGAGGGTCCCCACCTGAAGATCCATGTGGATCTGTACTACTCCACACATCCATCGTGCCTAACCCCATCAGCACTTCGCCTTAAAGTCTTATGGGACTACCGAGTCTTTTCTTGACTTCCCTCCTCGCTACCTCTGCATACATTCCATTATCCACCTCAACTGACTCAACCTGCTATCAACATGCGCACTCTACTTGTGAGTCTACCCCACGCTATTACTGGCTCCAGTAATGTCGCTAATTTCTCCTTAGATTGATATCCCGCTTGGGTCCACCTCACCCGGCACCTCACCCGGCAGGTCATCATCCCAGTCACCGCCCAAGTCACCCGCTGAAAGTGCCTCTCTGTCACCAGTGAGGATGTTCCAGTTTTTTGTCATGCTCTAGTCAGGGTCACTAATTTGTCTCTAGACAGAAGCGTCTAGGTCCACACCGCGCACTGGGTAACTCATCGAGTCGCCCGCTGACAGTGCTTCTCTGTTGCCAGTATAAATATCTCAGTTGCCTGCCGGCACAATTCAAGTCGCTAATTTCTGCTTAGACTGAGCTTCCATATTTGTCTATCTCGCCCGCCAATTCGTCCCGCGAGTCGCTCACCGAATCATCCCCCCAGAGTGCTTCCCTGTCACTAGTAAGGATATCCCAATTGCCTGCCGTGTTTAGTTCGCTAACTTTTCCTCAGATTGAGGGCTTGCCTAGGCCCACCTCTCCCGCCAAGTCGCCCACCGAACCGCTTGTCAAGTCACTCTCGCAGAATGCCCCCTTACCAATAGTAACAAATTTCCGGTTTCCCACCCAGCTTGAGTTGAGTCACTAATATGACTTGTCTTCGCTAGTTTACCGTTCCTCTGGGCTGGACCACAAATCCTGTATCCACCGTTTACAAAGAAGAGTGGGAGGGACAGATCATGGCTCGGTGCTATGTTCTTGAACCCAGAAATCCGATAATGGAGGATGACAATGCCTACACAACAATTTTTCAATCTGGCGACAAGTTATATCTCTGGGAGCGGATGTGCGACGATCTTTATGAAATATCCTGTCGGGATATACGCGAGCTTGCTCTTACCATTTCCGATACAAAACTTAGGGAGCTACATAGGGAGCTTATCTTCACGGTTCTCGATTTTCCAAATTGAGACAGACAACCCACCCTGTCATGAATATATTTGAATATGGTGAACTTACTTCAATACATGAAGCAGCGGATACACTTCCGCACAGTTGCCAAAAAACATTCTGCTCCCTGTGGTCCTCGCCATGGGGCAGTTGTCCATATTAAACCCGCTATTTTGCACCTCAGGGCCGTCAATCAATACAAATCCTGCCTCTTTAAGAAATTGCTTTTAGTTTCCGATGAGATGGATGTCTCGGTAGCCTGCCAATGACCCTCCAAGCAAGAATTGGCCTCGGCCTTCATCCATATTGATCTATGTGATGTTGAACATTCTGGGAGAGTGTCCTGTCAAAGCACAACACCACTTGCCATACACGGCAAGTCGGGGGAGGTAATAATTCCTCCTATTGGCACGATACGGGGTGACTGTTATGGAAGATAGGAAAAGCCCCAACAGGTCGAACAGACCCCAAAAGGGGATTCCACTGTCCAAAGCTTCATCCAGCAAGAACTTCCACACCTCCAATGGGGGTTTCGAGTCCCAGTTGGGGTTCAGCATACGCCTGATCGATTGGTTAGGACCCAGTCCAGGCGAGGCAAATCGGGTGCCATCGGGAGAGCTATATAAACCGCAAAGAATAAAGTCAATTCATGTGTGGGCATACGATAGTAGCTTTGTACTTACCACAGCTCCTCTATTTGATCTACAATGTCTCTGAGACATGGTATTTGGTGATCCTGAAGATCATACATATACCCGTAACTGACTAGATGTCTTTTTTATGTCATTTTTTGTCCTTGTATATGTCTTCTCACAAGAGTTATATCGAGCAGGATTCCTAGAGGCGTGGCGGCAAGACTATTTGAACGGTAATTCTCAAAGAGCTATTTTTGAAAATTGATTATGCAGAGTCTATCGAGCAAAATACGGACGTTTTAGTCCAGTCGCAAGTAGAGATCCGAAATTTATTACTATAGGTGGAAGCAAGATGGCAATCAGAATGAGCTAGTGAATATAAAATCAATACGTGTGACCAGTATATTTCGTCAAAGTCTTCTATCTCCTTCTCGTAATCTCAGTAGAAGTATAAGGACGACGACCATAGGCAACAAAAAGCCTTTGGTATCCACCAACGCGATTGAGCTCTCGCTCAGTGATCGCCGGTGTGTCCTCTAATTCCACCGCAGGTAACGAACATTTAATTCCTGTGTTCCTGGTCAGCATTATTCAAAGTGTTGTATTTCCTTAAAATCTCTCTGGCAGTCGGCATGAACCCCTCAAGAGCGGAGCGGACCTGCCAGATGCTCTTGGCAGCCAGTTCGGGGTCAGGAATAAGTACGCCGATTGGAACCTCAAAGATCTCAATGTTAACGTCCTCCATTCCAGCATTCTTCAAGTATTCGCGCAGTTTGTGGGGATAGTCATAGCCACAGCCAGCGTGGGTAAATATGTCCCGGATTAACTGCTCGGCTTTTACCATCCCACCCGGATTGGGGGTGTCATGATCCTGTTCAATAAGTTCAATCCATCCATCCGGCTTGACCAGCTGGCACAGGTTTGTCACGGTTTCCTGATGAGTAATATACTCCGATCCTGGTAGCACCAAGCGTTGATGAACGTAGTCAAAGCTACCCTGCCATTCTATTGGCCAGGTAGCATCAATTCGCTGTTCTTTCAAAGTTATCTGGGTTGGGAGATTGGTCGAGAACAGCTTGCTGAGGGAGTCGATTCCGATATACTGGTGTCCTAATGTGAACGGCAATGAAGCATGCAAATCCAGAAGCCACCGACCTGTCATAATAGAAGGTAAGCTTGAATATTTCCGTTACTAGCAGCAGGGTCAACGTACCATCAGCAGTCCCACTATCGAGAATACGGAGCTTTGGGCGAGTTAGATCGACGGGGGCAACCACTAGCCTCCCCATCGATTGTAGAAATACTTCATGCTAGGCGGCAAGACGCGCGACCTCTTCCTCGTGATGTGCGAGATAATATTCTCCCTTTGGTCCCTGCCAGATAGGGCCAATATCCGAAGGGACAAAAATGGATGATTCAGTTGGAGCGGTCATCTTCCTATGACCCGGGATAATAATTTGTATAGGACCTGAAGGAGAGGAACTTAAAAAAGGCAAACGAGCAAATTTTCATTACAATAAACATTGAATGTGAATGTAAATATACCGATCAGACAAGCGCCTGGTGGAATGCTCCTGTGGCGGCGGCGTATATTAAATCTACAAACAAATATGTACGACCACGTTACTTGAATCGGCATTGTTTGGAATCTCTGTTACACCCGGACCAGAGGATGTTCACCGATCATCCCCTTAAGGTTGCTCGAGATAAATTGAATCCTAGAGAGCTCATTTAATTCCCAAATTACACTATGATCCTCCTAGCTCTATTATTCGTTTTGCTGGTGGCCTTTTTCCATCAAGCTCCTCGGGAGGGGACGCTATCAAATCGGATATTATCCTCTATAATCAATGTGAGATGGCTCAATTATCCTTTTTCTTGCGCTTCAAAGCTAACACTTGTGAAGATATATTTACAACTACGGTACCCTATCAGGTTTAGAGACGGTAGTAGAACCATTCCAACCTGCCCATATATATCTCTCAACGGCCAAGGAAATGTGGGCAAGTTTCTCAATGGAGAAACTCTAGGCCAAAAATGGAGAGAGGATTACGGGCCGGTTTTTCGAATTTGGAGTGGGTTGACACCAGAGATGAAAGTAAAGACACTCGATGGGCAAAACTTACAGGGTGCTGACGTATGTCTGTCTACAAAATAGTGTTCTAAGCCGCCCCGAGGACATTCAGGTGGTCTTCCGTGACTCTAACATGCATCTCAAGGGTGTCAACATGAACTCTGGGTGGGTAGTCGGGGAGCTTCTCGGAAAATGCCTTGGGTTGCTTAATCAAAACGATTGGGCTCGTGCAAAAGAAGCTGTGGTGGAGCCCTTCTGTCAGCATAAAGCACCCAGCTACATCAAATTAATTGAGTTACATGCGGAATGTTGAAAATGAGAAGGGTCAAGGAAGCGGCATGATACTTGAACCTGCGGAAAATTTGATGTTCCTCCCGTTTTGGATCCTCGGAGATATCCTGTACGGTCGGCTAGATGAACAGATGGAGAGATATCTGGACAAACTGCAAAAGCTTCGCCATGAGCTTTGGAAAGATGGTCTCGCTGGTGGATTGGCTCGGTATTCAATCGGGCGTCTCATCCCAGGAGCAAGGCTCAAAACTCTCAATACATTCAAAGCTCTGTGGAATGACTTCAATGACCAAGCATATGAGCGAGCGATGAAATTGGGAATGCCTGATGCACCACCCATTGTGAAGATGTACAGGCAAATTCAGACTGGCCAGATATCCAAGCTTGAATTCCTCCACACGATGGATGAGACATTGTTTGCTAACTTGGATGTTACGGTCGGCAATCTCTCCTGGAATCCTGTGTTTCTGGCGGCATACCCAAGCGTCCAGGAGGAGATCCGCCAAGAGGAAAGGCGTGTGCGTGAGAACCTGGATGATGATGAGTGGAAAGCGTACCTTTCAGGGACTTCCACCATGCTAATGGCATCCATACTCGAGACTGCTCGACTGAAACCAATGGCCTCCTTTTCAATACCCCAAGCTACTCCAACGCAGCGCATTGTGGGGGACTACATTATCCCTGAGGGTACCCAGTTTGTGGTAGATTCTCATGGCCTCAATATTGGCGATGCAAACCGGGGTGCAGGTCGAGCGAAGTATCACCCCCGGCGTTTCCTGAACCAAAATGCAGTTTCCCGGCGTTATAAATTCTGGCGATATGGATTTGGGCCTCGTCAACGCACGAGCTGGCCTGGTATCAGGATCACAATGCAGACCGTGCGAGATCTTTCTGGAAGAAATATTTCAAGCCATCTTCGACAGAGGATGCCTTATTACTGCCTTCCCCGGATTTTGAGGCCAATTCAGCGCGTAGTTCGGCAGGCCGTGTTACTGAGAAGATACCTTGGGGAAAGGTGCATGACTTCTGCCACATCCAAAACATTTCTCCTTCAATAGTCTACCATGCTGCCTGGGCTCTTGTACTATCTCAATACACTGCATGCAATAATATTCTATTTGGTGTCGTGTTGGCGAATAGACATCTGCCGGTCGCTGGCATACTGGAGACTGTTGGCCCTTTGATGAATATGTTGCCCATCTGTCTACACATCGATCGGGAACAATATGCATCGGAATTCCTCCAATATGTGTCCCACAACTTCAACATGCTCTCTGAATATCAATGGAGTAAGGCCGAGCATGGGTTCAGCCGCAATTTTTCGTCCGCCATGGCCATACAATTCGACTACGAATCGGATAATCCCAAATCGCCAGACTCACTTTCCTCTCACACAAGAATACAATCAGGGGTTCCAGTAGCGATCTTTGTTGGACCTAGAGACAGGGTGCAATTCAACTACAGCAAGGATCGATTCTATAATAGAGATATACGCCACATGTGTGACGCCTTCCTCTCCGTGATCGGGGCACTTCTCATTCCGAACCAGAAGCTAGAATCCTTTTTCACTCAATTGATTGGCCCTTCAGTACGACAAACCCTCGCAGAATTTGGAAACTGGGCATCAGAGAAAACAAGGTCATATGGGAGTGAGACGCTGGTTAGTTTGTTCACAGAGAAATGCCAAAGCGCACCGCAAAGTGTGGCTGTTATCAAAGGGTCATCAGAGATGAGTTACTGCGAAATAGACGAATGCAGCAAAAAAGTGGCCCAAAAATTATTGAAATGCATTGCGCCAGGGGATGTTGTTTGCGTGCAAGCTGATCGTTCCACCAACTGGATTGTGGCCGCGTTGGGGGTAGTCAAAGCCCAAGGTGTTTACTGTCCCATGGATCCCAATTATCCTCCTGCGCTTCGCGACTTGTTTTGTTCTACAGCAAATGCTCGTGTATTCTTGGCTACAGATGAGGCCTCCAAAACCTCGAAACCGTCCTCTTGTCAGATATTCTACTCAGTGGACGAGATGGTGGCCACACAGGTGCCGAAAATTGGTTGGCACAGCAGTGTGAATCCTAAAGCTAATGCCTATATGTGCTTTACTAGTGGCTCCACTAGTTTTCCCAAAGGGGTTATATGCACCCACGGGGGGATCGTGGGATTTGAAAAAGATTATGTGGCCCGAATGACGGTAGAGCCGGGTCGCAAGGTTGCCCAAGTGATGTCTCCTGCGTTTGACGGCAGTGTTCACCAAATCTTTTCTACTCTATCATATGGTGGAACCTTGATCTTGAACGATTCGAATGATCTATTTGATAATCTAAAGTGTCCAGATGTCGCTCTATTAACGCCTTCTCTCGCTCGTATGTTGGATTCAATCAATTACCAAAATCTGCGCGCGGTGAGCCTACCACAATTTTCATGTATTTCTTCAACGGAGTCAAAAGAATTATGCTAATATCAGCAATATTTGCCTTAGATCTGGCTATTAGGGGAGCCTCTCGTACGAGAAATCGCCGATGAATGGGCATCTGTTATTCCAACATACAATATGTATGGCCCGACTGAGACCAGTATCGGAGCAGCCTACGCGCAGATATATCCAGGAGATCCAATTAAAATCGGAAAGCCAACTCGATGCGTCCGAATCTACATCCTAGATCCTCATCGCAATCTTATCCTCCCAGGAATGACTGGAGATGTCTATATCGCTGGAATCCAAGTATCTTGTGGCTATATCGGGCGTCAAGATGAGACTGGGGCCAGTTTCTTCACAGACAGTGTGTGCTCTGGACCAGGGCAGAATATGTACAAGACGGGAGACCGAGGATACTGGACAACACGTGGAGAGGTTGCGCTTCTTGGGCGAGCAGACAGACAGATTAAACTGCGTGGTTTTCGCTTGGATCTCAACGACCTAGAAGTTCGCATACTCCGGGGATATTCTTTAGCTACCGCAGTTGCACTTGCGCGTGTAGATGATACTCTTGTTGCGCTCGTTAAACCAGAAGACATTAACATTGATGACTTTCGACTGAGGCTGCGGGATGTGCTACCCTCATACGCCATCCCTGGCCCGATAAGGGCTGTTTGTGTGTTTCCTATGACGAATAGAGGGAAGACAGACTACACGGCTATTGCGGACATGTTCACTTCTTGTTTAAACAAACGCATCTGGCCTGTCGCCTCACCTCCCTTCGAAGATATTCGCAGCAAAATCATCGACATTTGGCGTACGGTCTTGAAACTTGACATTAATCAACCCGTCAATGATACCGATCATTTTGTCCACATGGGAGGGCACTCCATTGAGCAGCTGGAATTGGCAAACCGTTTGTCCACTGCCTTCTCGAAGAACATTGGTACCCTCCAAGTCGTTAATTTCCCCCATCTCCGAGACCAGGTGGCATTATTTTCATGTCATACAGAAAATGTCTCCGATTACGGCACGAAGGACGCAGCTCAAAGTCTTTCCTCATTGAGACACAGCAATGCATCTCCAATTGAGGTAGAGTGGTGGCAGAAGTATAATTTTTGTAAAGGATCAACCGCCTTTAACGTAAACTTTGTCACCTGGACAAGGGAGTTAACATGGCCAACTTGACTGACGCATGGAATACTGTCCTTGCGCGACATGACATATTCCGGTCTCTTTATTGCGTACAAGGATCGCAGTTAGTTCGGATTATGAGTAGTTCATGTCCCAAAGTCCGCTACGTCTCGGATATTGGTATCCAAGAAACGATCAATGATCAGTTTGATCTCTCCAAAGATGTTCCAATCCGCGTCTATCTCTCCCTGGATCTGCTTATCTTGGTTGCTTCTCACATAATCCTTGATCTGACATCTTTACAGATAGTCCTACGAGAGGTAGAACTGCACGTCAAGGGGGGCCGCCTTCCACCAGTGACCAGACGATATGGTGATATCACACGCTGGAATCAACCCGCTGCTTCAGAGGACGTCTAGTTCTGGGAAGCTTCTCTGCGTGGTCTACCTTTGTATCCAACTCCGAATCGAACCACATTCAATGGAGCATCCCGGGTGTATAGGCTCCCCCAAGAGGTCATGTCCAACATGACAGAATACAGTATACGGCACGGAGTTACATTTCATCAGCTCTGTCTCGCCGCTATTTCACTATGCCTGCGTGAGAATAGACCCTCACATCAACCAGTGGTATTGGGGGCGCCGTTTCTCAACCGAGGATTGGATGATCATGATGTAGTTGGCCTGTTTCTGGAGCCTTTACCTGTCCTCGTCAATGCTCCTGCTGGTGGAACAGGAATCACCTATTTACGCGATACACAACAATCCAGCCGAGATTCTCTCTCCCACACGATCCCATGGCATGCTTTGTTGGATCATTTTAGCGTTCATCCAGACCACCCTAACATCCCTTTTATTGAGGCGGTAGTGACATTTCATGATTATCGAGTAAACCATGGTCTCGGCGTTCCCGGGATAGCACCACTGATGACATGGTGTCAGGGCGCAAAGTTCAACTTGATGATGGAATTTTGTGCTCGGAAAGATGGTTCCCTGTTCTTACGCATTGAATATGACGATGCGAACTACGAAGCAATGAAAATCGATAAGGTTCAGCATTCTATCATGTTGGTGCTCATGGGATTGACACGTGGTTTGGATCTTGCGGATATCCACACAGACCTTGATAATATGTCCGAAGTTCCACCATATACTAGTGATCAGTATTTTGCCATGCGAAGTGTTGATGTTTAGTTGAGGGCTATAATCGTTGAATGAAAGTGGAAACATGTCAGTACTCCAGATCAGTATTCCAGATCTTAATTTTTTCTAAATCAAACCATCACCCCAAATCAACCTTCCCCTCCTTCCCAGCCCCCCAGGCCAAAAATCCAGTCGCATTGAACACTCTCGTACCCTCCACAAAATTTTTCAAGTACTCAAAATCCCAACATCGTCTCGCAAACCCGGCCCCCAAAAACCCATGCTCCTTATCCACTGCCGGCTCAAGCGTACTATCCGCCGAACAGGTAATCGCCTGGGCAAGGTAATCAAAGCAATGTGCTACATGGACAGAGCGGTTCCGGCCGAAGTCAAAGCGTTGGAGGTCTGAGTCGGGTACGGCGGTGTAATAGGCTCGCCTGAGGAGGTAGAGGCAGTGGAGTTGGTGAAAGGCGGAGGGGATTACCACAGAAGAGGACTTTGACTTCGAGGTGTCTGCGGTTGGGGGGATGAAGTAGCCCAGGCCATCTGTGGACTATGTTACTATCATATCTTGTGGTATATTCTGATATGAGGAGGTGATACAAAGGCAAATGAAGACGTACTAGGTATTAACGCATCCCATATCGGTTCCGAGACGTTCCCTTCCCGTGGTGGTTCTTTTGAGAAAGGGGATTTATGTTTGAATTCGCCTGCAATTTGGGGCAGGGAAATTTGAGGAGCTATTCGTATGTTTTCAAGAGTCCCAGATCCATAACTGTGTGTTGTGGTTGTATTGAAGATATAAAGGGTGAGTAATACCCCTAATATGAATGCAGTTATAAGAGACAGAACGAAGTATAGGATATGTGTGATTGTAAGTTGTTTGGTCAATGGCTTTGTGAGATGGGATTGAGGCTCCTCTTCTCCGTTTGAGTGCTCGTTGGGATTTGAGAGAGGCTTATACACGTGTGGTTTCGCAGTGATCAACATTATTGTCTAGTAAACCAAGAGCACGGTAAGAAGAAAACGGCGAATTCACATTGTGAGGACGATGGAGTTGAAAGGAAAAGTACTATTTGAAAGTGGGCAAGCTCGAATGACTTTCTACAACACAAGACTAATTAGGTCAGTGTATCCCTGCACCCTGCTTACAGGGATTTGCTAGTGGGAGCCATATTAAGCCCCTAAGACACAGTCAGCGTGGGCTGTGCCGGGCTAGCCTACGCTGCAGTGTTGATCATAGCGGTCAAGAGAGATTGCGTCAGTACTTGACGGAGGCCTGCATATCTAGTTCGGTTTGAAATGGGCTGTTAGTGCTGTGATAGATCGTGTATAATGCGGGATTTTGCTTCTCAATAATATATAATGTTTATTTGCGCGCCCTTCTACTCCATGGGATTCTAGCACTTCTCATCAGTATCAGCTTTACAAGGGTATAGGCGCTAAGATGGTGTAAGGCGTAGCATACCTTGCATATATTTTAGGGTTACTACTACTATTGTATCAGTCACCTGCAGTTAGGGGAGGGGTGAGATCGATGTGGAAACCCTTGACTGGCTGATCGGCATGCATACAGGTTGGACCTTATGTAGTACTATGTGGTACTATGGATGGTAAGCAAACTACTATATTTATGGCACTTTTTCCTTATGTTCTCGAGTAGCTATCTCTTAAAAACATTGGATTTCTCTAGGCCACTGTTTACAGATTTAAAGCAATCTCCAACTTTCGAAACATCCTCGTTGATTGTTCTATCACCCTCTTTACAATAACGAAAAAAAGGCCCCAACCACCCAGCATGCGTGCATACCTTCTCCTCCTTACCTTCCTGGGTGCCATGGCATTGGCTGCACCCACCACTGAGAGTAGGTATATCCCGTGGAGAGACACGTACTATACTCGGACTGAGCTAACGAATATTATCAAGTTGGTACGGTCGCCAGATCAGTCAAGGTTTCCAGAGAAGACAACGGAGATGCCAAGGGGAATAGCGAGGACGTGTATGTCGCAGACGGGTTTTAGAATGTTCTTCTTCCCTGGCGAACCCAGAAGGTTTATTTTTGAGCACCTCAGATCTGTGAGGCATCTTTTTCTCGCTCGTGAGATCATTAGCAAAACAAATTGCAGCCTTTTCTTGCTATACAAGTTTCTCTATACAAAAGATCTCCTTTACGTAACAATTCAACCGGCCTTTACCGCAAGCACAACCATACTCCTTCTAGACCTCACGAGTCACATCCGTCGCAATCGACTCTTCGGGCAACCCGACCAAAATCTCGTCCTCAGGCACATACCCCTCATCAACCACATATCCGCTCCCCTCCGGACAGTGCATGAACCTCTTCAATCCAACCTCATCTCCCGGATTCTCGGGGCGCTTATAACAAGCTGTATGGGCTTTCGCCCAACTTTCCAACTCCCCCCAATCCCTACAAACCCGATGCTGCCCGACCCCACTAACGACCTCGACCCTCCTCTCTGTGGCCCTGGGTGTATCATCTGCGTCGCATAGAATCTGTCGTCTTAACGCGTCCAGACAATGTGCGATATGGTGCCAGGGTCTTGACTGTGTCCGGTTGCTCTGAAACTCGAAAAGACTGATGGAGATAATCTTTAGGCAGTGCAGGTTGTGAAAGCCATGTAGGATGTATATTCCTTTGGTGGTATCCCAAGGAAAACGTTGCGCTGTGCGAAGATTGTGGGATGCAGCGAAGGAGTCGGAGAGAGCGACAACGCCGCTGTCGATATTTATCGAGTGCCAGAGGGTGTCGGTGAAGGTGGTGTTGGTAGAGGAGTAGTCGGTTAGGAGAACATAAGGTTCTGTGTGGGTGAGGTGAAGGTTGGCGTATTTTGATGGGGCTTGATGGGGTTTGGGGCTCGAGAGGATGATGGAAAGGGTGATTATGTTGGTAATGAGAGATAGAGATAGGATAGGAATTAAGATGAGGAATCGACGTCTGTATGGCTTCGAATTCCTAGCACCATCTGCAGGTGTGTCTGGATCCTGGATGGTCTCATTAATATCGTTGAGAAGACCAGAACATTCTTCCTTATTCTCTAGTAGTATCGCCATTGTAGGCTCTTCCGCGATTGATCCCTAGAGCTGAAGGGTCGTAAAACTACAACATAGATTAGTGGATTACAATTGTCAAAAAATTCTACAGTCCTCCTAAATCAAACCACGTACCCCCCTGGCATTCTGCAGCACACGTCCCGCAGCGGTTACTCGAAAGCATTGACCCGACATATTCCAAATTAAACCACCTCGGCTTTTCCCCCTCCCCTTCCTGGTCACCCTTGGCTGTAAGCCACTCAATCGAGTAAGCACACACAGCTCGTGCAACATATCCATGCATGGATGCCTCCCTAGTCTTTGTACAACCTGTAGCCATTCCTTAGCGGATCAGCATAACTGCTACCCAGTTCTATCAGCGGAATCCAAACAGTATGTGTGCTCGATTTCTGTATTTGGCCACATGGTGACTTGACTCCCTCTATCCCTTCGAGACTTGTAGTTAGTAGCACATGTTTAATCTTCGGTGGGGATATGTGTCATGTCGCCACCCCTTAGCTGATCAGCGACCATTTTGAAATCATCATCAACTAGGTCTCTTGCTGGCTAGACTTGTTTGACTCCGCTATCCTCAGTGCTTGAGGGATATTTCGACGTATTTTCCTCGCCCCGCGTCTCAAAATACGTCGACGTTTATTGTACTGTACAATAGCGCTCTAGAGGAAAACTACAGCCCAAGCGCATTTCGACGAAAAGCGGCCAGTAATGGCATACCACCGCACCCTCCCCCTCGTCAGCGACCGACCGGGGTTAATAGTCATGACATCGATATTCTTCCTGACAGCGATATCCGCAGTAACACTCCGCTTCTATTCTAGACGAGTGTCGAAAGTTCCTCTAGGTCCAGATGACTGGTTTGCGCTGGCTTCTCTTGTGTGTCCATCCCTTAATATACAGCAACCATCATCTACCCCAAGATTTACAGTAGCGCTATACTGATATTGAGGCGAGCAGTTCTTCGTCATCGCTCTCAATGGAATTTTCCTCTCGGGTTTAATACAGGGCGCAATCACCGGTCATTCTATAGTTGTGAACAACTGGCCCCAACACAGCGCGCTCGAAGTCCTGGTCCAGAAATACAAATATGCTTTCCAGACAACAGAGAAGATTGCCTTTGGATTGATCAAAATCTCCATATTATTCCTGTGGAAGCGAATAATAAGTCCAATTCGCTCTTTCCAGGTGTTCTGTTGGGTTATGATTGGGATTGTCGCTGCTTGGAGTATATCCTTCTTCTTCGCAACTTTGTTTCAGTGCGGGACGCACTGGGATTGGAATTGGGCCCCGATCGGGTTCTTTTTGACCCAGTGTACGGATACGCTAAATATGCTGACGGTATTTTGTGGGACGGATTTGCTGACGGATTTTGTGATTATGTTTATGCCTGTGCCAATCATTTGGAGGTTGAAAATGTCTGTTAAGAGGAAGATTGGGGTTACCAGTGTGTTTATGGTTGGAATATTGTATGTTCACTCTCGCTTCATTCCGTTGAGAGTTGGTATGGGGAGGCCAGATGCTAACCTTCAACTCTCACAGCACGATCGGCGCAGGAGTTGCGAGGACATACATCTATCTCGTGACGTCTTATGACAAGAATGATAACCTTGATTTTATTGCCGATTTCACACTTTTCATCCTGTGGTCGGAGATCGAGGTCAATGTGGCTATGATCGTTTGTTGCATGCCAGTCTTTGGGCCTGTTCTTGGTCGGTGTCGCGATATTATGTACCGCCGTTTTGGTCGGCCAAAGGATGTCGAGTTTGGTCTACTTGGACATTCTATATCGTCATCGACGAACGACGGCAAGGTACACCTCAGCAGTTTCAGCGCTTCAACCGGGTCCTGTGCACACCACGACCAAGAAGCAAAATTGCATGGCTCACACGTGGGCAAGTCTCGGGCATCAAGTTATGCTAGCCAGGGGTAGATCGGAGGATTATATAATGTGAATCAGGCTGAAGGGTGGAATATGGAGATCCATGTCCGAGCTGAAATTGTATCCCCTATTACTACTCCGTACATGTCACACTAGTTGAAGTAGAAGAAGCAAGTAATTAAATTTGAATTGATCAGCCTAATCACGAGAATATTACAGTAATAATGTGACAGCTCGTTTGCACAATCCAGGATAGAAGTGTATAATTCCCTTGAAGGCCTTCTAATGTTGGGTTTCCCATGGAGACAGGACAAAGCAGCTACCCACCGTGGAGAGACCCGCGGACATTATGTAGCAAACAAAGCAAACCCAATAGAAGGCAAACATCAACATACCTAGGGTAACAATGCATGATCCTACATATGTATGTAATACCTTGGCAATAAAAACCGTCCGCCTTACATCGGTAAACATTATCATCAGGTGGCCCCCCAACACCTCATCGACTCTGAGACTTTTCTCCTCACTTTCTCACTCACCCATTTTGAAGAATAATATCATTTTAAGGGGCCAAGACCTTGGACCCCTGACAACATCTTGCCCGCCGCTATGGCTAGTCGCTTGTTTGCGTCCCTAGTAGCCGTGCTTCTGGCAATCGTCGCTATCTATTACCAGGAACTTCTAGATACATTTTCTCTTAGTCCCATCCTAAAGGTAGTGGACTCCACACGAGATATCACTTACCTTGGCAGTCTGTCCCCTGCTGGAATTGAGCATTTCCAAAACATTTTCTACGCAGAAGAACCCACAGGGTGGCGACGTTTTGCAGCGCCTATTCCAACGAGACCTGTGAAGGGATCTGTCATTGACGCCACCCAGCCCGGTGCCTGGTGTCCGCAAGCAACAGGGGATATACTTCCATTCACAAGCAAGGTGACCAACATTAGCGAAAACTGTCTGAGTTTGAGGATTGCGAGACCGGCAGGAACAACTCAGGATGCTAAACTTCCAGTTGCAGTTTGGATCCATGGAGGTCAGTCGAGTGTTAGTAAGGAAATACGCTGCGAAGACGCTAATGAGCAGGTAGGTGGCCATGCTTTGGGCTCGGCTTCCGACATTCTTTACGAGCCCGATGGCTTGGTAAATTTAGCTGCTGCTGATGGGCTGCCGCTAGTATATGTTGGAATAAATTATCGCCTGGGCTGTAAGTCATGCATCAGGAGTCTATGAAACTTTGTGCCAAGGCTGTGCACATATAGGTTACTGATTCCTGTTTAGTTTTTGGATTTGCAACCAGTGGGGCAATGATTGAAACGAAAGACACAAATTCAGGGATTCGGGATCAACGTGCCGCTTTGGAATGTACGTATTTTGACGCTCTTTTACGTCATCGCGCAACGCTGAATCGTTGAGCAATCAGGGGTTCGTGATAACATTGGGTCATTCGGCGGTGACCCTAACAGAGGTATGCTCAACCGCCGTTTCCTTTCCTGCATAAGCACCGGTATGCTGACAGAATATCTTCCAGTGACTGTGATTGGACAAAGCGTGGGGGCCAGTGACATTGGTCTGCAGCTAACGGCATTTGGCGGTGACCAAAATGTTCCATTCCAGCAAGGAGTGTAAGTGAGTCGAGATCCGAAACTGTTCAATGCTTATCTGGCTCTAGGATGATGTCCGGTGGTCCAGGGCTGAATTTCAACAGCAAGCCAGATCTGGTCGCAAGTAACACGGCTTCTATTGCACAACAAGTAGGATGTGGCGGTAACGAAGATTCACAGACACTGGAGTGTCTTCGAGGTGTTCCTTTTGAGAAACTAACCAACCTATCGGTTACTGCAGCTCGCGCTGCCCGTCCACCATTCGGAGAAGGGTATTTTTATCCAACGATCGACAATGACTTCATTCAAGATAGACCCTCGCAGTTGACTCGCGCAGGAAAATTCACTAAGGGAATACCCCTAATAGGTTCTTGGGTCACAAATGATGGTGCTTGGTACGCGCTGCCGACAACTGCAACGGACGACGAAGTTCTGGGGAGTTTCGGACTATGGCTGCACAAACTTTCAGAATTTACAAAAGAGAAGCTCCTACAGCTGTATCCTCTGGAGGACTTCGAACATATGATCAAGCCAGAGCATGAGGGCCAAATTTCTCCTCAGTACTATCGCGCTGCACAGCTGAACCGCGATATCTGGTTCACTTGCCCAGTCCTTGACTTCACGTGGCAGTACGTCAAAAATGGGGGTGTGGGAGCCTCCCAGGTGCGACTGTATGAGTTCAACGAAACCAGATACACACCAGTCTTTAATTCGATGGGTGTTTCAATGTGGGGTGTAGCTCATCTCAGTGATATCCCCTACCTGTTCTGCAATGACCACCTAGGAGCCGGTGCAGATAATTCGGACTCTCAGCTTTCGCTAGGTCGGGATTTCAGTCGAACGATTATCCAGTTCGTGCATGGCACTCCTGATGAGGCCGATGATCGGCTCCAGTCATGGCCGCCTGCATTCTCAGATGACCCTTCGAAATCTCCAACAGACGACGTGCCTAGTCACATCTCAGTACAGCTGTTTGGTGGTCCCCATGGCTCGGGGTCCACCAAATGCAGCGAAGGCATTGGAGCTGACATGGAGCTCATGACCGAGGCAGAGAAAGCACTTCACTGGGAAAATTTGTTCAGTCGCTGCGCATTTCTCAATGGGCAGCAATTTAGAGAGGAGGCAGGGGTGTGATGAAGTGAACCAACTGTCGTCCCTCTGATGGTTATGGTAGGGCCGTTAGGATCACCTACATACGCATACATCTCTCTACATACATACATAGGATTCAAAATGTCCTTGTCAGTCAATTTCCATGAAATTATCAACGTCCGGAGTCTTACTTGAGAGCGATGACGAACTTTCGCCAACGCAGACAATGATTAATCATGTCAGTAGATTTACCAGCGTAGGCCTTTCTTAGACGTCAATGCCGTAGCCTTGTGGTGGGATTATGGAGTTACGAGCAGTAAGTCCTTTCAGGGGTTGTGTTGCTCAAGACCAGATCAGCAAAGCGCGACGGTCGACAACGTTCCGAGGTTGGAATGTTATTGATATGTAATCATCGGACGGTATTCATATAGGCAAAAGCGAAGTTTCTACTTGCTGTTTCTCTCCGATATGGCTAACTTGTCAAGAGCACCAACCTTGCCCAGGATGCCTCTAGGCCAGCTTGTCACATATGCGTTAAGGATAGTACACGAAGGACAAAGCCAGTCAACCCTTAATCGTAAGATTCACTTATCAGGGTGGGCCATCCCAGCCCTGTATCGAAGATAGAAAATTGCTGACAGTTTCTAGGGCTACCTACATAGTTATAGTGAAGCTATACTAATACTAATGATGTAGGGTTGCGAAGAACCTGCTTAGATCGCACATCATCCTATTATACATTGAAAAATGCGTTTGAATCATTACATTATATGTTTGACTGATACTGCAATAAGTACATCCGACCATAGGGTGTGGAAAACAGGGCTTCCCGTCCGGCCGGTCAGCCGTACTTCAGCCCATTACTCTACGTGGTCAATTCTCAAGGTGCCTTGGAAATTCAAATGGCGAAGGAAAATTGTCTTAGGCTGAGTGTGGGTGATATAGGTGAGAATTCTGTGGACCGAGGTGACAGAGGTGAGAACGGGGTGAGAAGGGGAAAGAGTCTCAGTAGGAATTACCGAGTTCCAAGGAGGTGGGTAGAATGGAACGACGGTTTTGGGGTAGGTAGTTCCACTGTGTTTGAAAAAAGGCCAAGTGATGTTGAAGGCTATTTGAATGATGTTGGGGGTTGGGTGAAGACGGAAGAGCCCCCACCAGACGGGATGACCACATCACAGACATATCTTCAATGGGTTTGTTCGACCACAACCCAAATTCAATCATCCGCCATTCTTCCCATAGTAAAAAGCCATATCGAGCATACGCATCAAACCGCATATACTTTCCAGGTCCCCCTTCTAGGTTTAGTGTCATGCTGTCCCAAAACTGTAGGCCAAGCGGCACCCTTTCCAGGTCCAGGCATTCTTCTCCCGTTGAATGTAGGCCAAAGTCCCGAACAGGGCGCGCCACATGCTGACCGACCGGGCGGTTTTGTATTTGCAATCTTCCAGGATATTCGTATTCATCGCTGTCGGTAACGTCATAGAAGATCCTCAAGGTGCCACTTCTATCGCTGCTTTCGTCGTCATCGCTATCCTCATTCTCGTGACTTCGATCTTCATCTTCATCGGATATTAAGTAGATATCATCATCAGATTCACTGGACGAGGATAGTGGCTCAAAGTACCGCTCTCTTGGGGTCCGAAGATCGAGATTCTCGTCGGGCTGTTCAGATCGACCCTCATTGGTATCTCGTCTAGCTTCTTGACTAGACACCTGGTTGCTCTCACCACTTTTTTCTTCGGTTTCGTCGTTTGCTTCGTATTCTGGCTCCTCTTCCTGTTCCTCTTCTAAACCACAGCGAACCAGGAAGTCAACCAAGAGAGGTGTCAGCGGTAGGAGTGTGTATTGTCATTCTGTAAACTATCTGCTATTTGTAACCTCTGAAGCACTACCTAGGATGCTTGTGGAGGCAGGGACCGCAAAATTCCGGGGCCATCAAATATACATTACACACCCTTGATTTCACCAAGTTACATATTTAATTCAATTTTGTATTCGTTCAACTGGCGCTAGGCTAACTAAACTGGTTGGAGTGGTATGTCACAGGATGCTGTCCAGGGAGCGAACCCATGCTAGCCGCTCCCCCTTTGTATATATTGGCGGTTAGGGACTTCCGCCGCCCGGCTGGGAGGCCGTCGGCATGTTCCAGGGGGTCGTTCGCCTCCTCTATGCCCGTTATCGGATTCGGCGCTGCTTTCTGTGTGGTCACTATACCGAGACAAGCTGGGCCGCCTCTTATACGGATAAGATGAGATTCCTGGCCCCAGACTTCGCGGAATATCTTTTCGTTCCACCCCCGGCCTTTGCGTAGCGACGTGGTAATGACCTGTTCAGTCATTATACGGCTCTGCAACTGTTCCCGGTTTGCTTTGTAGGCTGTGGAAGGTATGAAGCTGGATTACGACTGCTGAATCGACCCGTATGCCAGAGAGCATACTGCCTTGAGCGTTCCCCTCGGCACTAGGTGGCTCACAGGAAAGGAAAAAAAAATGAAAGGATGGGCCCGAGCCCGGGATTGAACCGGGGACCTCGCGCAATGTTGCTTTGGGTGAACCCCTGGACGGCTGTTAGTAAGTTGAAGTGTGGATTGGATCAATTGAGGTTGCTACTAAGCGCGAATCATACTTCAATTTACTAACAGCCGCCCAGGGGTTCACCCAAAGCAACATTGCGCGAGGTCCCCGGTTCAATCCCGGGCTCGGGCCCATTCTTTTTTTCCCTGTCGTTTTTCTTTTCGTTTTATTAGTCGAGGTAACCAACTACCCGGTTCTTGCCAGGTGCAGGGTTACTAAGACAGTGCCGGCTACCAGGAGTCGCCAGTTGACGAGAAAGACTTAAGTCAAACAGTAGGTGCGTGTCGTAAAGAATTCTATTGATAAAGAAGAGGTTAGGCCTGTAGACTAGCTAGATATATATCTCCCGCTTCTATTTCCTTACCGCTGACTGGCGAATCCTCCTCCTTACTGGGGATAAGACCTGGGGAGGTCTCACTCTCCTCTGTATCGACTAATAATATAGGAAATCTAGAGTATAGCCACTAGGAAATAATCGGTATTAGCTTCTAACTTATTCCTAATCTATATTTCCTATTCCTTAAATAGTAGGTTCTTTCTGTTGGTAAAGACTAGGGGATCTAGAAGTTTAGTTAACTTCCCTTAGTGCAGCTCCGTTCGAACCGATATTTCGAATTTATAGACTATAAATTCCGTTAAAGGTAGAGCCTAATCCGAGTCTCTCTAGGTAGATCTTCTTTATATTATTTCTCCGTTATATAGAGCTCGCTTAGCTCTAGTAACTTCCTCGATTAGAGCCTTATTCGTTCGTTATATCGCTACTACTATAACCTTATCGTTTGAAAATTTTGTTTAAATGATTAATTTCCACTATATGACTCTCACTCGCCTAGTCAGAGATACTTCTTGTAGAAAATAGGGGATGTGGGTATAGTTGAGTTACTTTGCAATGTAAATTTCCTCCCTTTCGTTACATGGTATTGCCATCTTTGGAATCCCTCCAAGCCGTATCAAACTCGTTCCAGCCCCCAGGCGGCGCGTCCCACATTGCCAACTCACGAACCACTGTATCGTAGCATCCATCGCTGGGCATAGTTCCCTGGCAAACATTTCCTCCAACAGCGATGTTGATAAGGATTCTGAACTCACTCATCTTCCTCGTGCCAGGAGGCTTCTCGGCCCTCATGATGGGCGTGCCATCAATCAACCAGACCAAGCGCCCCCCGCCCGTTGTTTCGTCCTCGTCCCAGATAAAATCGTACCTCACCCCCGACGGCGAGCTAATGTTAGGGATGGGAGTTTCGAGAACGCGATGCTTGTTCCAGTCCTCGCCGTTGAAGTGGCCCCAATGCAGACAAGTGTGGTTGACAGCATCGCCGTTCCACGCTTCCATTATGTCGACTTCGCCATCCTCGGGCCACTTGAAGGGGTCTTTAGGCAGCAGCCAAAAGGCAGGCCAGATACCTCGGGCCACCGGTGCCGTAATTATGGCCGACAGACAGCCACGTGGTCGGCCGAGGGTCTGGAGACTCGACAGTCTGGCGCTGGTAAACTTCTGGGCAGGATCGGGATGCCCATGATTGATCAGAGCGCGCACGATCACCGCATCGCCCTGGGTTGAATGGAATGAGTTTTGCGGACTGTCGATATAATTCTGCGACTCATTGTTGCCCCATCCATGTTGACCCTGTTGGTGTTCAAAGTTGTAGGACACCGGTACTTCAGGGTGTAGATTGGGCCTCCAGTAGATCTGGGGTTGCAAGGGCTGTTCCTGATAAGCTAGTGGCGGTTTGCTGGAGGTTGGAATAGGCGGTGGGGGAGGATTGTTGTATGACGGTGCGGGCTGAGGGGCCTGATGGCTGATTTCCTCCCAGGCCTTTTCTGCCTTATCTATAATGCCCTGAAGTGCCTGTCTGAATGGCATGTTGAGTACGACCTCGGTATGGATGTTAGTTAGGGTTGCACAAGTAACAAACCTCGGAAGATATGGAAAAAAAAAACAGTAAGCAAAGCTGACGTCATATTGTGGATATCCCGAAAAGATCGACTTCTAGGTACAAAGTAGGTACGGAGTATACTCCTCAAAATTCCCTTCCGCATCCTTTCGCCATCGTATTTCGGGAAATATTGCTCTCTTCTTGAGGCTGGAAATATCCAGCCAGTGCCCATATTATTCCTCCATGGACTAGCCTACAGAGTATAGTACTACTAGTAGTAGTGCCTAGTTACTATGTAACGTATTTCACATGCGAGCTGCGCACACAAGCGAGCTGCGCAGTCCGATACCCATAGTAAATGCGATAAATTACAACTAGATATCTCAACAATGCTTGTCTTTGCGAACTTTTCCTTATAGCCTAATGCTTTTCATGTAATCTTGCTCCTTTTAGGAGTTTGGGGGAATTTAAGCAAGGTTAAGAAATTCATGACTGAGATATATAAATTCACAGGATTTAGAGACGTAATTTTCGATACCATAATAATGCAGGTTTTTAATCCACTCGAAATTGATGTATACTACTAAAAATTCTTATCAATCTCTATCGGCAAACTACTGTTAATAAAAAACGTTTGGTTGTGGAGATATAAGTGTAGTATACATCGATTTTACTATGGTGTTTCGACTGCGCAGCTCGTATATGAAATACGTTAGCTAACTATACCTGACTAACTAACTCGCTAGTTATAGAGCATCTATTATGTTGTACAAGTGCGAAGCATTCCAGAGGTCGCTTGGCCTTAATGAAAAATCCTTCTTCCATATGATCGCTAAGCTCCGGCAGTAGTTAATGATAACCTACTTCGTAACAATATAGTTACTACTTCCAACTAGACTGCGACATCGCCCGTCCATGGGCACCTAGGAGGTGCCCAAGGCCCGTCCACAGTGGGCCTTGGGCTATTTGGATTTTCGAGTGCCCGTCCATAACGCCCAAGGCCCACGGGTATACCCACGGCGGGCATGCCCACGATGCCCACTATTGTATAAAGTCACCCAAAATAGACGTATAACTCGCTGACTTTGTATAATAAATAACTGTTATTTACACCTATTTTGCCAACTCTATATAAAATGGCAGTTTTAATCTACAATATCTATAAATTTTACTGAAATATCTATATATATAAGAAACTAGTATATATATAATACGAATTGGAATAAAATTTTAATCGAAATACATTATATTGTGTGGTATTTTTATTAACTTATCAAATTATACTGTAACAGCTTGAAGATATATATTCAAGTCAGTGGTATATACCTAGCATTTTCTATAAGTAAAATACTACTTATAGATTCTACTTTATCTCTTACTCTGGTATATTTCTTATAGGTAGATCGAAAGATAATTAGTATAATTCTTATTTTATAAGCTTATATCACTAAATTCTGTCAATTATATCACTCAAAGACTTATATTATTATTCTGGGAGTTTTAAATCCTTCGATTGTAACTCAAGATAGGCGTTTAGGTATATTCCTATAGGCGTGCCCACGGGCGTACCCACGGGTAGACTTCGGCAGAACCCATTTTGGGTCGGAGTCTCCGACCCAAAACCCAACCCATTGGGTTTTGGGTTCTGCCCTCTATAACCCAACCCAACCTAAAACCCAATGGGTTAAACCCAATAACCCAATAATAACCTATTTGAACCTATTTTTGTATAAAAGATAGGTCTTGGCGTTTATAACAATACTAAGTCATTTAAATAAATTACTGTTTTTTATAGCTGTTCTGGTTTGTTTATCAAATATTGCTATATTATCACAATATTAAGTTGGAAAATTTATATAATTACCCTGAATTTAAAGCTAATAGGCTTTGTATTATATTGATTACTGATAAAAATTTATATTAATTATAGTATAGTGGTGTTCTATTAATTTAAGTATTTATTGACTGTAGACTATTGAAAATATATATTTGTGGTAGAGGGGAGTATATATATATTACAGGATAACTATAAATATAAATAGAAATATCTTATTCTTATTTGATTTTATATACAATTGATATTATATTAAAGCTATATTTCTCTTCTCTTATATTTAACTTATTATATATACTCCGAATTATATTTTCTGACCGCGGTCGGAAAATCACTTCTAGGAGGTAGGTATATATATTATTATTTCTGACCGCGGTCAGAAAATCACTTCTAGGAGGTAGGTGTTTATATTATTATTTCTGACCGCGGTTAGAAAAGCCCTTCTGGGGGGGTAGATATATATATTATTATCTCTAACCGCGGTTAGAAAAGCCCTTCTAGGGGGGTGTAGGTGTATATATTATTATCTCTGACCGCGGTTAGAAAAGTTCTTCTAGGAGGGTAAATAAAATATTTTTGAGGGATCTTCTGGGGGAGTGGGTTATAAATAGGTCCTCTTAGGTTTTAATAGGTTATAAATAGGTTCTCTTAGGTTTTAATAGGTTATTAATAGGTTCTCTTAGGTTTTAATAGGTTCTGTTAGGTCCTATTAGGTTCTCTTAGGTTAGACCTATTTAAATAGAGCTTATATAGCCAATTAAATAATATTATAGCTTATACCTTTTGATCTATCTACTTTACTATAGGACTAAGGTGTTTACTGTTTATATACCCTTCTCTTATAAGTATATACTCTCTCTGCCTTTCCCCCTTACCTCTATAGTATTCCCCTTTTCGGTCGTAATATCCTAAAGCTAGTATTCTAACTTTTTACCTACTCTTTACGATACGGATATAGATAACCTTAGCTATCTTATACCCTCTTCTCGAGTTCTAACCCTATCTAGTAGCTAGCTTACAATTAAGCCTTTTGATACTATTAATACTAACTTCCTTCGGCCCTCTAACCTTCTACCAATTCTACACTCTCTTACTCGCGTTAGCCCCGATCGGAGAAAGGTATATATACTTTATAACAATATAGTATATAAAGAATAGGTTAAGTAGTAGCTATAAACCGACTATAGGTAGAAAAGTAAGATTTCCTAGGATTTAAATCGCAATTCAAATATATAGAGTAACTTCGACTAAGTTACCTATACCAAAGATAGTGCGCTAAAGGTGATATATAAGCGCTGCTCAAAGATCCTAGAGTATCCTTATTCTCTATTACCTAGCGGAAAGGGCTATTATAGTATATCAACAATATTGAAGTATTTAAAGAC